ATACAGCTGTGTTATTTAACTAAGTACAAGAATCTGTTGCAGTTTCTGAAAGATAGAAGCAAAGCTACATTTTAGCCAGTTAGGTTTTAGCTGAACCAAATCTTACCTCAGCCCATTTTCCCCTGTTAGCATCTAGAATGTACATATTTGAAGAGCTAGAGGTTAAGAAAGGAATGGGTTTATTTTTCGGATCATTGGGCACAAACAGTAGTAAAGATTTGGTGTATGTATTATGGTGCTTACATCATTATCTTGCAAAAAATTAAGTAAAATAGCATTTTAGAGTGAGTAATGTGACAATTAGTTGATTATCCAAGTGACAGAAAAATTATCTGCTACTATTATGATAATCAGTAAGTAACTTTCAAAGTAAAAAATGTCAGCAGCTTTTCGTTTGTGAGGATTTGCTTCTTTTCTCAGTCTAATGGGTCACTAAATTTAATATCTGGGACTGTTCAAACATGGCAGTTACATGAGTGTGCCTTGGGCTTCAGGATACTGCTACAGACCATTTATTATTGTTTTCAAGAACACATCAAATTAATAATTAGTCTAGAAAATAATTGCTGACTGATTGACCATGTAATACTCTTTCTTAGATTTCGATCTGTACTTCTTTAAAATAAGGTTTATTGTCTCTAATAAAAACCTTAAATCTAATTTCTCATCAACATTTTTTTGCTGTCTTTCTTACTATTTCCCTCTTTCTGGTACATCTCAGAATGTCAAGCCTGTTCCTATTATCTCTAATTGATTATCCTCTATCAAAGCACCTAATTATTTGTCAGTTGTAGCGATCAGCCCTATTATTTGTGGGCTTTCCCCTGACAGGCCTTTAATGGTGATGGTTGGTTTAACCCCCAGGCCTTGCTAATAGGATTTAGCAGCAGGTGACTGGTAACACAGACACACACACCCCTCTAACCCCTTCACCCCTAGGAATATCAGACCCTCCCACTGCCTGTTCACTGAAAAGGCGTACAAACACTGCACTAATACAGCCTTGTCATTCCCTCTGAGCTGAATGTATCTGTATGTAGCAAGGCAGGACTGTAGTGTCACGCCTGGTTCTCCCCCTTTGTTTTGATGCTGCATAGTCACACCGTAAAAAAAAATCCTAAAAAAACAGTAATATTCCGGCAGCTGGGGCAACAAAATAATACCAGAAAATAACAGAAAATAACTTTCCCATGAAAATACGGTTATTTTCAGTAATGACAATACAGTTTGTTGCCCTAATCTTACATGGGATTTTGCCTTTTTCAAGTGCTTTTAAACATTAAATTAGGAACAATTTAATGTGATTAAACAATGAAATTACCTATAAAAAAGGTCAATGAATGCAGCAATATGAATAATAATACTTAAATGTACAGAAATACACAGTTAACAGTTGGTTTAAATAATAATAGATTGCATTCTTATAGCGCTTTATGAGACCCTCAAAGCGCTTTACAATTCCATGTTATAATCCCCTCTGGCCATCACCAGTAGGTGAAGTGTCTTGCCCAAGGACACAATGGCTGAGAGTGTCCGAGCCGGGGCTCGAACCGGCAACCTTCTGATTACAAGGCGAACTGCCAACTCTTGAGCCACGATCGCCCTGAATAACAATAATAGTTCAAGTTCAATCTTTCAAATAACGGACAAATATTTGTGAAATTATGATGCATTTTTGAATGTATTTTAACAATCTAAATAAGCATATGTACAGACAGATACATTTAAAAAACACGAAAATTACGTTTTATTACATTTACAGTGATTTTACGTTAATTTACATTTGAAATGTAAAATCACTGTCTATATATGTGAATTTAATGATATTCTAGAAGAAGAGTACAAAACTGTGAAATAGACAGTAAAATACTTTTATATCACGATTTTTCTTTTTACAGTGCAGGATTCATGCAGCAACGCATACGTATGCAAAATGCCAATGCAAATAAAGCCGAAGCAGACACGGCGCCATCTTGGAGGTGACAGACGACGGCTAGACGGAGAGGCCACGGCCTCTATGTGCTGGTCGTTTCCTGACGGTGATGTCCTTACAAGCTGCGCTGTTTGCAGTGTCATACAGTGTAGATTTGAATGTTTATTAAATATAATTTCTGGACACTTGAAGCAAGAGAGCATAGATTTAGTGTTGCAAAAATATTGCTGTGATGATGTAAGGAATGATTTAGTATTATTGACAGTTTATTAGGATGATTTACCTGTAAACTGCTCCTTTATCCCGGTGAGGCCTTTCTGTGACTATAATGTCTCTGCCAGTCAAGCACAGAGCTGCTAACTCAGACAGTCGTTCCTTCAGCTTTTGTCACTTTATTTGGTGTCCATCCATCCACTCATGGCAAACAGCAGCAAAGGCCATTCATTTATACTGATTGGAAGGAAGAGCGTAGGAAGCCTGGGAAGTGATGGCGTTGCCCAAGGAGTGGGGGTACTGTGAGGAGAAGAGGACAATGAGGAGCAGGGAGGGGATGGGTTTGTTATCCTGGTAATTAAGGACAGAGTGGCTTCCATGCCTGGTGTGCGGACAGGATGTGGCAAATTACTAGAATCTTTGTGAGGAAAAGCTGCTCCCTCTCTACTCTGTCCATTCTCAGGGGACCTCATCATCTTCTCTAACAGTCAGGATGGGATTTTGTACCCTCTATTCCCTCACCTTCTCCTTCTCTCTTTCTGTCTCTCCGTTCTTTTCCTTTCACTTCTCTCTGTCAGCTTCCTCCTGAAGTGCAAGTCAAAGTCTGAAGTAACATTGCGGGTTTAGAATTGTAGATTAGTATGCCGACTTCTTGGTAATGAAAACTTCTGGCAATTATTCATGTTTATCTTTTTCGGTATTTACATGCTGAGGAAGAGCTAGGCAATTTTTCTAACATCTTGAGACAGATTTTGATAATTAACTGTGTGTGTTTCACAATGCAATTCCCCTGACATGCAGAGAAGGATAGAGAAATAGACAAACCATAAACAGTACTGTATGTTCTGTTCCCTCTGTGAAACTCTGCGTGCGTGTCTCTCACTGACACTGCTGTTACTTTGATATCATATATTAGGGAAAAGAGGATATTATTTCTTCGTTTCTCTTGGCATTTTGCATTGGGATCCTCGGGCTGTGGTGCTCAGGTGGGGTTAGAGAAAACAGTGGCCCTCACAACGACAGGATACGCTAGCAGCAGCATGGCAAGACAGCAAGAGAACACTCTGGGGTTTAAAAGTACCCAAAGCATCCTGGGTAATTAGCCATTACAGTGCTGTCACAGAGGGTTCTGCAGTCAATACAGAGATAATTTGGGCAATGGTGAATGACAGTGCTGTCCAGGCTTTTGGGATGATCAAGGACAGATCCAGCTGCACCAGGCATCTGTCAGGCCCATGAATCACTCCTCCAGCCAGCAGCTGGGTGAGTGGAGCAGAGAGAATCGCTGGAGAAGCATGTGCAGACACACAAATAAACATGTTCCCCCTCTCTCCCCTCGCCACACCGGGAAATGGCTATTAAAGGTCTGCCGTTACAGAGCACCGAGTGGAAAAGGCTTGTTACCTTCAGTGGCAAATGAATGACATTGGGAATAAGGTGAGGAATAAAAGTCAGACCAAGGGGACATTTTTCACAGTTATTTCAGCTGTGTAGCTAAATCCAGGGAATGCAGTTACAATGCATTTTTTCATGTTATAGTGATATAAGTAATATGTTTTACACAAAATAACAACAAGGCTTTATGTTATTACAAAGGAAATCTGGAAACTATACCTTGTTCTTTCCATTGCTCATTGGTAGTTGAAGACTGTTTGCTGTATTCAGGTTGCAGATTCGAGATATTATGTAAAGTGTCGACCAAATCCATAGTAAAGCACGTAAATTCTTCCCCGTTTTTCCTGTAATCCCCACCAAAACAGGGAAGAATATAAAAGGAACTGAGCAGAATGACAGATCAGGGCTTGTGTAGCAAAGTATACACATCACTATATAAAGCCCAAACCTGCCACGATTGAACAAAGTATTTCAGGTAGCATGAGTTGCTAGTTATTAATATTTTTCATTTTTACTTCAAACGGTTTCTTTTAGCAGACCTGCTGTCATTAGGTTGTGCAAATTACAGGTGCATTTTAATATATTTTAATCCTCTGCAAAAGATTTTGCAGGAGATTCAAGTATGATGATACTTGATGGACCATACTGGTGTGAGTTTTACATACAGTATCAGTGCTCATGCAGTAGCTTATAAGAGTTTATTCTTAGGCGGTGACACAACCTTTGTTGGCTTGATCAGATCACAATAACCAAACTTTCATATTTATTTATTAAAACTCTTTGCTTCAATTTAAGATTTTATACACCAGTGTTAGATGTATATTGTGTGTTGTACATAATAGTAGAACATAATTATATTTTGATTATGAAGCTGAGCCTCAACCATTTCAGCACAACAAATATGCATGTATGCAAACGTTTAGGAAGATCGTACTGATGGCATTTATGGGACTCTGAAATATCATTCCAAAATATGTAATATAATATTAGATGTCAGTATAGCCCAAAGTAAGGTGCTATAATAGACGCTATTTTCTTTAATGTGAAAACAGCTATTTTTAGGATTAGCTCATATGCTGTATATAGATGCACAAGGTTGGCTTGTGTGTGAGATATAGGTCCTATCTCTGTGCACCCTATTTAATCATATCTGTGGAGACTCTGCCCTGGGACTGGAGCTTTTTCTTATCATACTTTAATCAATATCTTTCTCGCTATGTTAACACAAAGCAGTCCTCTCAACACTGTGGAGCTGCAGTGTCCTTATTTTGTAGTTGATGAGTCTATGGAAATGCATGTGTATATTAAGCATGATTCTGCGACCTGTGCCAATGCTGAAGCACTTAATTTGTTTAATAACACTCAGAGTACAATGAGCTAGTTTTGAGAGTGCATTTAAAAGGCAGACATTTCTGTATCCATCTTGTTAATACACAGATTGTCTCTGTTTTAATTTCAGATGATTTTCAGAGCACATCCTGTAAAAGCACCAGAATAAAAGCAGCGTATTATGGAAAAGGGAAACTGATTTCGAGTAAGTCACCTTTCTTCAGCGTTATCACTCCAATTCATCTAAGAATGGAATTAACTTCATGATAGGCAGTGAAAGTACCTATCCATCTTTGATACAATGAATTCAAAGATGCACAGCACTGACAGTCAATTAAAAATGAAAGATAATCCACCCCTCCCTCACAGAGGAATATTCAGTTTGGCATATGCACTATAAATACCTGCCATCATTTTACATCAGTTTGCTATTTATCTGTCGTTTTTATTTTTTTCCAAAGTGGATGAGCACACATCTGAATGTTTACCTGCTTTTCAGCAGGGCTAGTAGCTTCTTGGTGACTGCTGTATTACCACATTTTAGTATTCCTACGGGATCCATTACCATATATGTGTCTATAAAGGGAATTTGCAGAGTGCAAAGTGAACATGTTATGTCGGTCATTTGCTGCGCAAGGATATTTTCCTTCAAACTGCATTTTAAATGCTATGTTTCTCCCCATTACTCTACACCGAAAAACATTTAAATGCCCTTTAATTAGTGTGTCCTTCCTGCTATCGATAGGCCACTGGTAATCACTCAGAGGACTAATGACTCCTAATTGAATTGCTTTAAAGAGGAACACAATTGGTCCTGTCATCAGTACCCAGACAGCAAGATTTGGGAGCAAACCCAAAACGGGGGTCATTTTGTTAAGTGTCGCGCTAATCGAAGTTACATATTTTCACAGTGGCAGAGAAAAGCCTGATGCTACTGTGGTGATGTCAGATCATGTTCTCTCAATAGAGCCTGGGGAAGGAGGGACTGGGGGGGAATGGGGAGGTGGGAGTGACTTGTGGATCATCAAAATTTCAGTAGATATTGATTTGATCTTTTCATATTGTCAAGGAGAAATCTAATCATAATAGAGCAACATATGATATCTCCCTCAAACACCTTTTAACAAGCTATTGCAGCTTATTATCCAGTTTGCCTGCACCAAACCCTCATATCATATTACGAGCACTGCAGGACCTGCGAGGATGTCCTTTTCATCCGCATGTCCTGAAATTCAAGCGCTGCAAAACTTTCATCCTGTACTTACATTTCAAAACAAGACTAATGGCTTTGCAAAATAACTAAGACTGGGCAGGTGTGCCAAAAAAAAAAGGATGAAAAGCAGCCTTGTATTTGTCCAGGAGGTCAAAGCAGAAATTATGCTAAATATATTCACAGGTAGTTATAAAGATAGTTAAAGTGCCTACATTCTGACATTTTTCTAAAACAGAGGTAAGGGCTGCACCTTAAGTTAAACAGAGCCTGGTTGCAATGAAATGAAAAGTTGTAATAAAAAGGATGACTATGACGAGCAATTTTATATAGATACACCGTACAGTGATTTTATATAGAACTTAATGATCCTATATCCTGTAGAGTGTCATTGGCATTGCAGAAACTTTCTGTCCTAATTATCCATTTCAGCCTGCCTGTTTCACATCTCCGCAGTCCCTCATTATCCCCACATCCACCTCACAGTCTGCTCAGTGTTACATTAGTAAAATAGAGCCTTTGATTTGTCCTCAACAGCGCAGACGTTTGAAAAACAGAAGAGCGAATGAGAGCGAGAAAGTAAAACAAAGAAGGAGAAGAGTAAAGTCCTCTATATTAGCCTGCAAGTGGCCTTGAGTGTTGAATATATTGACCGTGTCACCCTCCAGTTTTGGGGGGAGAAACTAAATTCAAGGCCACACCAGGGATTTGATGCATCACAGACATAATAGAGGATATTTTGGTTTGCTCTCTGAAGTATGAGAAACATTTTTTTCCCTCCCACCCGATGTAGGGAGTGTGAATTGCTGGAAGGCATTTGTAAAACAAAATACTTTACTTGACTGTGGAAACAATGAGTGCCCACACCCCCTGCGGTTGTAATGATGCAGTGAAAACCAATTCAACGGTTCTTAAAACAAAACCGCCCTTATTCAGAGAGCTTGGCGCTCGCCTTATTCAGATGTTATGTTGAGCACATTAACCTGTGTTTCTGAAACCAAGTTGTGCTGCACTGAAATATTCCTGGGCTTCATTTGCACTACATTAATAGTATTGGACTGACTTGCTATGACATTACGTTGGAGTTTTTAAAGCGCTGCCTGTACCTTCCTGGCCATATTTCAGCACAAAATGACAGCAATAAGAATCTGATCATGTTGGGTCACTCTGTTTGAAAGCAGACCCTGCCTCTGTTTCCCTTAATTAAACCCACACAGCGCTCTTTCATCTTTGCATATTCCGCGGCTGGGACATTGATACTCATTATTTCTTAAGTCTAAACACCAAGACTCTGTCAAGAATGCATCCATCACCGGCAGGCTGCTCGGCGTCAGCAGAAATTTTTCGCACTCTGTCAGCAAATTTAGCAATTTGCAATTTTCTTACTAGAGGGTTGTGACGTATTTTTATCGCCGAAGATGACTTTCAAATGCACAGATCATGAGGAAGTTGGCTTGTTAGTCCTTTCTTCTAACCTCGGCTCTAATGACAGTAATTAACAGGGCCACATTAGAGAGCCACCTCAGGAAGCATCTGACTGTTCATTTGCATGGCGTTAATACAGGAGGATGCCGTGCTGTGAAAGGCTTGCCACGAGTGCAGCAGTGCAGCTCTGCCTGTTTGGCAAGCCCTCCTGTTCTTAACAGCGCCAGGGCCCATTCTCCCATTCATTATGTGCCTAAAGCTTGAGTTATCCTCTCCTTGGTACGGGGATGAATGTTATTAAAGGCATAGCTGTCTGACACAACTCTAATGAAAAATAGGATGTTTCTGAAGGTTATGTTGCCAGCGAGCTCAGAAATGCCTGCTTCATTTTCCCACCCCAGCACAGGGCAAAGTAATTCCCACCTCTTGATAGATATTTTTTCTTAAGTTTTTTTTTTGTGGCTCTGCACGCAGGAGCCTCATCATAAAGAGACCTTTATTATCCGTGTTTCTTCCTCTGGTGATGCTCAACAAAGGGCGAGGCTGGACTTTTTGGCAGATCATACAATTGTGAAAAACTACATCTGTGTTTTCTGAAGCGACGGCTGCTACTGTGTGGATTTAATTAAAAGGCATTGCTTGTATATGGTTTTTGCACAGATATTTGTTTTCATTTGCTGTAGCTTAGAGATATCATCGCGATCTCATGTTTTACTTCTTGCACAACATTGCACAAAAGCTCATGATTTACAAGTTACACAATCACACACCAAAAAATAAAGGATCATTACCAAATTAAAGTAAAAGCTCTCTCTTCAGATGACGCAGGCTTGTGACAGTGAGAGATGGCTGCTCAGCAGCAGGGTCACATTGCACTTTTCAGAGCTCCATCAGAGGTGGCAGGTCATGCTGAAGATGACCCGATCCGCCCACACTGACGGATCCCAGCTCTGGCCTTAAGTGTAAATCCTGCTCTCCCCCTCACTCTCTGCCCTGTTTTGGCCTTGCCAGTCCCTAACAGCCCCATCAGAGCCACATGGGAGGCCGCTGACAGACACGCAAGATACCAGGCTACTCCAATTTGCCCCAATATTCAAATAAAAGGCTGCAAAGTCGCCATGTCGACATCTTTGTAAGCTCACGATGCTTGGTCCATTTCCATGAGCAACTGAGGATGTTGCAGAATTATAAACTGCACCTAGCTGCATGGTGTCCTGTTCACTATTGATTTTTTTTTAAAAAACAAACATTTTGAGGGCATTTTAGTGCTACATACGTGCTTGAATTTTAATTTACGCCTTCCCTATAAGTGGATATAGCGACTGTCCTTTCTTAAAGTGGAAATTTACCTCAAGGTAAAAATTGTGTGTAAATATCAAAATTCAAAAGAAAAGAAAAGAAAAGCTGCCATCAAATTAAAACATAAACTATGTTTTTTAAGATCCACATTTGCAAGCTGAATTAAACACATTGTCACAGTAAACCACTATATTGAAATAATTTCACAAATATTGGAAATCTTTAATTTAATCTTGGTTGAAATGGTAAACTCTTATGGAAAAATAAGCTGTTTGAAAAAAGCGAATTAATGGGGAGAAAGCGGGGAAAGCACAACCACAGATATAAGAAATAAACAAAAATATTATTAATAACAATTGCCTATAAAGAGTGCTAATTAAAAAACTCTTTGAACCCTTTTTAAAATAAATTACAGATTTATATTTAGTTGGTTTTTTTTATCCTTAAACTGAGTTTGAGGATAGTGGCTAAAAATAGTCCAATCACATCAGTCCATCATTTTAAACTGGAAAATAAGTGTACACTATTCCCTATACAAAACAACAAAAATCATATGTTACACACAGCTGTGCTTTAAGCCTGGAAACTCACTGTGGCAGTCCTGGCTGAGAGATTTATATCATTAGCATCAGAAAAAGTGTTAGCGTCAAAGAACGGGGAAATTCACCTTCAGGCATAAAGATTTACCAGCAATTATTAATCTTTGAAAAATTATTTTTGACAAGACAGCAGACAGCATGATGTAGTCGCTTCAGTATATGTGTGTATGTAGATCTTTTCATAAAGACTTTTTCTCTATTTTTTAAAATAATGTTAACATGTGTCAGCTTCACTGAAAATGACATTAAAAATCATATTATTTCTTGCTGCCATTTAAGGAAAATACTTTTAACTGCTGTCTTATCTGTTGTGTAACAAGCAACAGACCCTGAACACAGATGTTTCAGGGTCAGCCAGAAAGACCTCTAACAATTGGTTACCACCTCTTACTGTGTGTAAATCACAGCCAAATTCAGTGTTCCTAAAAAAACCACAGGTATGCTGGTGTTCCCCTTGCCAAAAGTTAAAAAAAAAACAAAAAAACAACAACCCCAAAACACGAGTCATGAGCTGATATTAGTGTCAGGTCACTTTTCTTTCTGACTTGAGATTTTCGTACGGTGACCCTTGTTAGCCTTTAAATACGATATCCACTGGAGAATGAAGAAAAAGTTCAGTCGTGAAAAATATATTTAGTTTTTTTGGGGGGGGGGGTTTCTAATCCTCTTTCATTAGTTACAT